GAGTTGGTGAAGATGTGACAAAATTGTGACCCTCAGATACTAATGTGGGATGTGAAATGGCACAACTACCAGAGAAAACAGTTTTAGCTCCTTAAAGTTAAATTATATCATCCAAAAATTCCACCCAAGAGAAATGAAAATATATATTCACTAAAAATCTTGTATATGGATATTCATAGGAGCATTATTCATAATAGCCAAAATTGAAAGCAATCTAAATTCCCATGAAATGATGAATAAACAAAATATGGTATAATCATGCAATGGAATATTTTTCAGCCATAAGAAGAATGAAAAACATATATGCTACAATGTGGATGAGCATCAAAAACATTATACTAAGAAGTTAGACACAAATGGTCATATATTGTATAACTGTTTGCATGAAGTCTCCAGGATAGACAAATCAGTGGAGATGCAAAGTAGATTAGTGGTTGCCAGGGGCTGGAGGAGAGTACAGAGTCTCATTAGGGGATGATAAAAGTATTCTGGAATAGATAGTAGTGACAATTGCACAACCTTGTGAATAAATACTAAAAAGCATTCAATTGTGCATTTGAAATGGTGATTTCATTACATGTGAATTATATCTCAATTTTTAAACTACAAGACATTGCTAAGGAATTCTTTGGCTAATAATGTGTATTATAAATCTCTGAGATATCAATACAGAATTTCATGATTTCCATCTTATTTGGAACACTTTTTCATAAAGTAACCATGTAAGAATTGCTACAGGAAATATTTCTCTGTTGAATCCATCCCTAATAATATTCATACCCAAGCATCCAGTACTTGGAGTAGATGGTTTGCCTTAAATGATTCATCACTGTTGATTCTAGATCACTGTTTCTTCTTCATTTTCTTTTGGCCCTGTTGACAGTATTTTGCTTCTTTATACATTAAGCTTTTGTTGCCCTGACTTTAATTGCTCCCAATGCAAGAAACAAAAAGTTAAAAACCTCTTTTAAAGATAAGGTAGGATTAGGATTCACTTTAGGATTAAAGTGAGCAAAAAGTAAGATGATTGTAACAGGACATACGGACTTTACAAAGAGCATTTTTTATTCTGCTAAGGCTATCATGCACAAAGCATGACTTTTTGACTGTGTTAAGTCATTCCAACAAGATTGGTGTTCAGGTTAGATTTATTACTCTGGAGAGAATTGTTACAGTGTCATGAAGATATTTATGACAATGGATCTCATGGATATACAATAACACACACTGGTATCTCTACCATACTAATCAGACTCTTAGGAAAAACCCTGGCTGCTTTATGTCATAATTATAGAAAAAAGCAATTACTGACCCATACTTTCTTTATCTTAGTTATAAAATAAGTATGTGTGTCAAGGCTAGGAAAATGACATAACCACACACCAGAAAGTTTGTCTTAATATCTATGATAAATTTTCAGAATATAAAAAATACTGAATTATAAAAATGAATGGAGAGAAGGGGAAAAGGAGCAGAGTGGGAGAAAAGAGGGATAGAAGGTTGAAAGGAGGAGGAAGCAGTTGCACAAGAACAAAAACAGCAATATGTCTTCAACATCTCTCTTTCATCATCTGACTCTATCATGAGCATTCACTTAATTATATGAACAACTCATATGTTTGTGGGCAAGTAGAATTTCTAATTCTGTTTTGCATTATTGATTATTTTGTTTTCTATTTGCTAATAGCTCTAGCTAGCTATTAGCTAGTGTAAATTCTAAACATGTCGAATACCAGGAAAGAACCCCACTGGTGATGTGGAAAGCAAGGCCCCATATCATGTGAACCACATGTATTCCTTTAGATAGAGTACAAAAAAAAACCTGTGAAGATTAACATTAAATCTTTTTCCATGCTCACAAACTTGTGGGCAAAATTGGAATAAAATGTGCTACTACTAAATAAGAAATGTCTATCTTCTGGCTATGTGTGAGTGAATGACCAAGAAAATATATTTTCTAGTAAAAAGGGACTTAGAGCCAAAAGTGTATGTCACATCCTAAGCATGCCTTCCATTTTCCCCATCTTATAAGTTACTCTCAGATAGAAACCTGGTTGCTTCAAGTGGAGCTATCACCCTTACAGTTGATATTCCTTAAGGAATACCTGAAGCTGGCCTCATCGTGATTGTCTAGAAAAAAAAGGGATTTTTCCTCTTCTGATTTCCTCTCACAATGATGGTCTAAATGCCCTTCTGACACTAATCTAATGTAGTACACACTTTACTGTGTTATTTTGAATGATCTTATCATTTAGTGTTCAACCTTTTATATCTGTATATCCTGCTCCCCAAATGGCACTACGATTTCTTTGAAAACAGAGCTCATATTCTGTGTCTTGCTATGTTTGCATAGCATCAAATGTAGTATAGTAAATGCACAGAAAACTAAACATTTCCCTTTGATTTAGAGAGACTTATTCCCACAGAATAAGTAGTAAAATATCAAAAAAATGTTGAATGACCTTATTATTTATTCATCAGATTCCATGCAGTACTCACTAGGTACCGGCACCAATGTGTTAATATGCTTGAAAAATAAACTGACGTAATCTTTGTAGCAACCACCTTAGATAAATTCTAGTGCTGTAGCATCCATTTATTAATTGGCATTATTGCCAATTAATAAGCAGTAGCAGATCCAGAATTCAGACCCGGGTGCTCTGGCTATAGAATTTCTACTTGCATCAGTCCCTGTATTCTGCTTCTTCAGATGGCTGTGCCTTGCTGACTACTGTATTTTCTCTTTACCTCATAGAAGTCTTGGTTAGGGCTTATCCTATACTGTTAATCCATGGAATTTTTGGTGAAGTCTTTTGGAGAAGTTTGTTTCTCATTCAAAATGGAACACATTGGAAAGAACATTCCAAGTAACCTTACCCTCTGTTTTGTCAAATCCTCGCTAACAGTTACCATTACTGTTTCAATACTCCTAAACTTTTACAGCACAACTTAATCACAATGCTGCCTACCATGTTCCTTTTTAATTGCTGTTTAGTCTTGAGGATAAACATGCCAATTCTACTTTATTTTCCTCTCTTCTATCCTAGTTATAAATACAGTGTTGATACCTTTTGATGGAAAATAGGACACTAAGAACTTCTATCTTGGCATCAGTTTTAGGCTGGATAAGAACAGACCTGCATCAGGCTCTTTCTTTCTCTACATTGCAGCTGTGATGAGAAATAATAATTACACCCTCAGCCTGCCACCAGAATCTACTCAGCAGCTCCAGCCAAGCTGTCCTGAGCAGGAGTTTACCCTGAGGATCTGCATCTATTAAAAGAAGCCTTTTAACATCTCTTCCACACTAATAAACAAAGATCTGTTTAAAGACAGAGGGACAGCCCTATGTGAAATCACCATCTCATTCTCCTTAGTCTATCCACCAGTCACAGGATGCCTTTCTCTGTTTCCAGTTGTCAGAGCATCTGTATAATGTGAGTAGATTAGACATGAGCCAGGGTAAAAAAGGGCTAAAGATGGGAGAGTCATTGTGGAGAAAACCTTTTAGCATGAACCCCCTGTTGAGGGAAGGAGAGAGAAACAATCAAAGGGTTCACAAAAAGCCAAGTCTTCTCTAAGAGGACATGTAAAGGACAAAGATTTCTATATTGAAATATCTGAGCAATTCTCAATCTGGTGTGGAGAGCAGAAGACTAGCACAATGCCTTTATTTATGCAGGCCAACCTATTATGCTTAACAGCATTAGATATACATTTAGGGCCAACAAGTTATATTGGCTATTAACCCTAAAGACTATGTGGAAGAAACAGAATTCACATGAAGCTCTTGCCCAGACAAGACATGTTTTTGGTACTTTTTAAAGGCTAGTTATCTCTAATAATTACCGGTGTCGATGGTTTTCAAAAATCTGATGTTGTCTAAAATTGCTAATGGCAATTGACCCCCTTAACTTGAAATCTCTGCCCTCTATGTAATGTGCACAGGGCGTAAGGTTAAGGATCAACATGGAAACACATCCTATTCATTCTACAAACACTTACTGACCACATATCATGGCTGGTAAGGGAATGAGTCATAGACGGTTCTTTGGAAACTTCTCTCATTATCTAGTAGACAGAACAAGGAGCATGAACAGCTAGTCATAATACAATGTCAAAAGTGGTATGTCATAGACTAGGTTCCCAGGGTGAAGTAGAGGATGAATGTGCACCTCAATCTTAGAAGACAGGGTGAATTTAGTATTAGTGGGTATATTCCTACCATAGAATTCCTGCCTAGAAATTGTGCTATTAATATTTTATCATATTTAATATACAGCCCTTATTATCACATTTGCCATTGTGATTCTGTCATTAACACTGTTGTTCACAATTCAGGTGGAACAATTGCCAACAAAACCTCAGTTATTCAAAGATTAAAAATGGGCCAACCTCATTACACAATATTTTTATGTTGTGAGAACAACCATCTCTCCCACCTATTTTTTCCTCTCTGGTTATTCTCACCTTATTTCTTTGTTTACTTCTATAGCTTCTCTCTCTCTTTCTCTCTTTCTCTCTCTCTCTCTCTCTCTCTCTCTCTCTCTCTCTCTCTCACACACACACACACACACACACAACACTGCAGTGATTATACCTGCAACATGTCCTTTAAATAATTGGTGAACATAAAAAAGATAAATTGAGAAAGAGAGGGTCAACAGGGCTGTCACAATTTTAGAGAAAATACTTTTGGAGATAGAAAATAATAGCTGTATTTGTATTCCATTTCCCAAAAGTTTTGGCTGTTGTGTTTATTTAAAACAAAAAAAAAGTCCAAGCTATAATTTCCATTATTGTCCCTGGCAAAATGAAGAGGCCAAGCAGAGACAGAAACCAAGGAAAATACGGTAGGTACAGGAAATAAATAAGAAGTTTAGTTTATAATCCAAAAAGCCAATTGCCAGGCACTGTTCTAAGTCTTTTATGTGCATTGAGACATTTAATCCTCACAAGTGCCTTATATGGTATACACTATTATATCATCTTTATTTTACAGATGATAAAATAGAAGCATGGAAAGATCCAGCATTACACCCAAGGTTGGGCAGCAAAGAGAAGATCTGAAGCCAGGTAGGCTGGCTCTGGAGTCTGAGCAGAAAAGAGCTACACCACATTCTAGGTGCTACACGTTGTCGAGGATCACTAATAGGACTCCACACACAGCATGTCATAGGGGAACTGAAACCTTCATCAATGAAGGGAGCCTAGATCAAAGCCAGAGAAAGGGCTTGTGTTCTGTCATTGGGGAATTCCAGATAATTCTACCAAAAACCTTTGTCCTCACCCAGGGCCGGTTTTGATACTTGAATTTATTTTGTTTTGCTATTGGCAAATGTTACTATTAGCTTTACTCTTAGAAGGTTCCAGCTAGGCTTTGACAGCACTACATTGTAAAATCAACTATATAACAGGGGAAGGAGAGGACCTGCCAAGAAACAGTGAAATTCCAAAGGAAAGGAACTTGCTGGAATTAAGGATTTAATACCAGAGATGTTTAATCACCTATTTTTTCCTAAATACATGAGATGCTTCATAAAATCAGCTTAGAATTAAGAAAACCAAAGGAATACTTTTGAATATCACCCCATCTCATAATTTTCATAAAATAAAGAGGCATTTTTTTACTGTCTCCCTCAAATCTTGGCAAAATTATTTCTCAAGAGAATTCTTTCTATTTTTGGAAATCTAGAATAATTAGAAAGCTTGTCTCTATATTGAATAAACTTAAAACAACATTTAGAACTGTAGAAAGTAATTGTAAGAGCTCAACAAATGTAACCTTTAATATCATTATAACTAATTATGGGCAGTTTTGATTAGATGGCCCCATATAGACATACTTCATGTGTTCAGAAAAATTTTAGAGGGTGTGTGTGTGTTGAATGTTGACACACCCTAATATTAATGAGCTTTTATTCTTAAGGAAAACTGAGCAACACACAGAAGAAATTGGTCATTGCTGGGTGACAGATGCTATAATCAAGTTCCTTCTAATTAACCAATATCAAAATCCACTCATTCATAAACTGTCACTATTATCAGCAGGACAAATATGTGTCTCAAGCATAATGTTGAAAATATGCCAGTCAGTAATGCTCTTCTAATACAGTCTTAGCTTGACCGACCAAGCAATTCAGAGCAGATGGAACCCAAATTATACCCATCAGGACCAGTGGGATCTCAGACCAGGAATCAGAGCTGCACAATGCATAACATCTCAAAGGTTTATTGAGGAGAAAAGAAGACATTTTGCAAAGGAATTTGACATCCTTCACAAGAAGAAGCTACAAGGGGACAAAGAAGAATGATTGGCATTGACTGAAGTCCAAATGCAGCGCTATTGTCTGATGATACAACAGAAATAACCCTGGAGTCTGAATTATTTATCACTAGTCCTTCTGTGCTCTGGCAGCCCCAACTAGCTTTGCGAGGCAATGATACTTATTGTATTAGTTGTACTGAATCAGGCAAACAAACTGCTATTCTTAAAACTAGTCTGGAAAATACTAATTTCAGTTTGAAGAAAGAATTTTTAAATTGCTGTCAGGCATGTGTTTGAAGTAGAAAAGAAAACATTGTTTTCTAGAAAGCATTATTTCATTGTCATTGCAATGAGCAATTCTGATTTTTTTTCCCTTCTGCCTAGGGGCTACCTTTTGTCACAATATACTTTACATCCCACCACTGATGAATGGATTAAGAAAATGTGGTATCTATACACAATGGAATTTTGTGCAGCCATGAAGAAGAACGAAATGTTATCATTCTCTGGTAAATGGATGGAATTGGAGAACATCATTCTGAGTGAGGTTAGCCTGGCCCAAAAGACCAAAAATCATATGTTCTCCCTCATATGTGGACATTAGATCAAGCGCAAACACAACAATGGGATTGGACTATGAGCACATGATAAAAGCGAGAGCACACAAGGGAGGGGTGAGGATAGGTAAGACATCTAAAAAACTAGCTAGCATTTATTGCCCTTAACTCAGAGAAACTAAAGCAGATACCTTAAAAGCAACTGAGGCCAATAGGAAAAGGGGAACAGGTACTAGAGAAAAGGTTAGATCAAAAAGAATTAACCTAGAAGGTAACACCCACGCACAGAAATCAATGTGAGTCAACTCCCTGTATAGCTATCCTTATCTCAACCAGCAAAAACCCTTGTCCCTTCCTGTTATTGTTTATACTCTCTCTACAACAAAATTAGAAATAAGGGCAAAATAGTTTCTGCTGGGTATTGGAGGGGGAGAGAGAGGGGGCGGAGTGGGTGGTAAGGGAGGGGGTGTGGGCAGGGGGGAGAAATGAACCAAGCCTTGTATGCACATATGAATAATAAAAAAGAAAAAAAACAATATACTTTACATATTAAATAGGGGAAATAAAATTAGTAACTGTACAAAAGGATATGTTTTTTATACAAAGGGGCATTCATGCTCAGAGTTTACATGCATTTAAATAGATATTTAACCTTTACATTAAGGCTTTTTCTAGTGAAAAAAAAATCATCTTGTGCCTTATTCTTTTCCCTTGCTTTCCAAATCAAAGGTGTCTATATAGACATGCAGAAGTACAGATTCATTTTTAAGTAGTGGCATTTTGGAAAGTCTACATCACTGTAATAAAGCTGAAATGTTGCTGGCAAAATCTGCCTAAGTATTGACCTTGTGTGCCAGAAATGCCACAATTCGGTTTTCACTATTTGGGGTCTTTGACTAATTATTTTTCAATTTGAGCATGCCCTGTTATTAATATACCAACAAATGTCATTTATTGGGTTAGACAGCAAGCTATACATGATGTCTTGCAAAGTTAGTATTACCAAATTCCACTTAGGAGTCAAGGACAAGAAAACTAAGAGAAGTTAAATAAGCAGCTTATGCTGCCTCTGGACAGGAAGTAAACCATGAGGCTGGAATTCCCACACACATTGGTTGTTTCCATAGCCAATGATTTTGCACCACATCATTGTCTAAAAGAGCCTCTCAATCATGTGTCTTCTGTGTTGAGAAGAACATTCTCTACCCTCACCATTTAATGTTAGTCACATAACACAGAAGGCTACTGGGCACTTGAAATGTGGCTGGTACTACTGAGAAGGCAAAGTTTTACTTCAATTTAATTTTAGTTAACTTAAATGTAAAACAGCCACAAGTGCATAGTTACTATTGTACTAGACAGCACTACCTGAAACAAAGAGGAATGTAAAAGTCAGAAAATACCTTAATATACTGAGCAAGGATGACCCTTGGACCAAATGATCTTTGATTCCATGTTGCACTTTTTTCTTTCCAGTGAAATTCATTCATTCTTGGCTGTAGGCCTCATGACAAGTTTCTTTCAACTTAGAGGGATAAGCATCTAGGAGGCACCCTACTCCTGCCATTGCCTCTGTTTAAGTCTGCAAGCAGATCTGGCTTAGTCTGCTCATCTCCTATTTGCACCCAGGCTCACAGTCCCCATCCACCACCATTCTTTTCTCCTGTGTGTTAGAATACTATATATATATATAAAGATTGACTGCCTGCACCACTAGTTTTCAAAATGGCAAGGGGAAAACACTTCAGAACTCCCTAAAAAAATGATCACTTCTTCTTCAAAAGATTCTTAAATATTATCTACTAACACCAGCTGAACATGAGCTTTTAGACCTTGGAACTTCATGATAAGAGTAATAATTATTTCTCAATATCTACTTGTGAAAAATCCATCTTATTTAACTATCACCCAAGTCCTACGAGGTAGGATTAAATACAATATACTCTCCATTTTCCACACGACGAAGTTGTCTGATTAACCTCAGGATCCTACACTCTTCCTACCTTTCCACTCTGTGATTAGCTCCCAAATTTGCAGCTGCTTCTACCTTCTGCTACATGTTCAGTTTGGTTATGGGACATGTATCCAGCATGTAAAGAGAAGCAAGAAGGCAAACATCAACATAAGAGAAGTGCTTATAGAACTCAGTCTTATCTAGATCAGTGTTGGTAGAAGAAGGAAAATGTGTAAAAGTTAAAACCCAATGGAATTTATTATTGGATAAAAATGAAATCCGATTACTGCTAAAGATAAACTGCTGAGCTTACACTAATGACAATAAGATTAATAGAAAGATGAGATTTGATTAACTACTTAGGATCATCTATCAAGAGTTCATGTGTTAAACTCAATTCTGTTAGGTAAGGAAGAAAACAACATATATCCTAGCAGTACATTTGTGGGTCACTTGAGATTAAATCCAATAGTCTAGGAAAATGCTTTCTCAAAAGACCTGCAATAATGAGGAAGAAAGCAAACAAATTTTCTTCAGCCTACCACTTAGTTCTCAAATTTATCTATCTGAAGCTGAACCAGGAACAAACTTACATTTGCATTTGAATTGACTATAAGGAGGAAGATGTTATCAAGAAATTGTGTCTCAGCCTTTAGCATTTCTTTTTTCGTAAGAAAGAAAAATATGGAAGCAATTTGTCTCTGGGTTTTAAGCACCAGAGGACCTACAGATCCTTTTCCTCACTTAATGTTTTACGTACAGAATGTTATTTAATGTCAAGTGGGGTGTGTGTGTGTGTGAATATACATTTTTCATTCTGAGTCTCATCCTCATGCTCCCTAAAAACCAAAGATAATAAGCACATTTAAAAAATTGAGAGTCAGATAGTAAAAGATCCTAGGTCAATTTTCCCATGTAACTTTCTTTGCATGGGTATGAAATTATGCTACCTGTTTCTTGATCTCATAGAGTACATTTCAAAGTGTATGGTTTTTTCCTTTGATCCTAATTTCCTGAATGTGATAAGAAGCCATTTCCAAGCACTATTGCCATGTTTTCTCTCAGTGCTTGTGACAATGATTTCCCTACATACCAACTAATCTTATTTTTCTCAAAAGTCTATATTCAACCACATGGCTGTGTCTGGTTATTGCTCTGCACCCTTCTTCACATGTAAAGTCGTCTTGTCTGGGAGCCCAGGGTTTGTCTAGGGAGCTATTGCGAATGAAGATAAATTGACATTTTGCCTAGGGAGCCTTGGTCAGAAATGCAATTTTCAAGAAGATGGTGACTAGCATCCAAAAGTACTCACATCAATGAAACATGGCAGGTGTCACCAAGAACACAGATCCTGGGCAAGGAGAAATTAGAGCCTCTCATGTCCCTACTCATCTGTGATTTCCTAATTGTAGTTGTTGGCTTTAATTGATGCTGGTGCCATTTTTGATCAGGTGCGGCTGTCTTGAGTGTCTTGCATTTCTAGAGGGCTTGACATTCTGAGAGCCACAGCATGTTCGGATCAAATTTGCTTTCAACATCCCATGTTCAAGAATTCTCTTCTTGAAAGCCATCAGTGAAAACAGCCTGGCACACTGTGTGTGCCTCGCAGGATGCCATTCAAGACCATCTTCCTTAGGGCAGTATGAATTGCATGGAGTGTGGTATCATGCCTTCACTAAATGTTTTTCCTGGTTTGAGTGAGACAAAGGTAATTTGGGGTTACAAACAAAATTCTACTTTAATGGCAGAATTACACTATGATTTTAGATGCAGCATGAAAGCAGCCCATCTAGCCTTTTTTATTGATCTTAGATTGTGGTTAAGCAGGGGAATTTATCCTCAAAGCCATTGGTTTTTTTAAGAAGCATAAATACATAGCTCATGAAATATACTGCTCTATCAACCATGGGTGACCCTCTGTTGAAGACTTAGACAATTCACAAGACTCAGAGCAGTGATTTTCATCCTTTCTCTGTTCCAAGAGTTTATGGATTAGCACTTCTTTAGCATTGAAAGCATCACAGTTGAAATGAAAAGGCTGCTGTGTTACAATGGTAGTCCCCATAGGCCTTGATTTGACATTTTTAATATTATGTTGGAAATATATAAAACAATAGATACATAGATCAGGAACAATAAAATCTATTACCAGTTTATTATCATCATCACTTTTATATTACCAACATCATTACATAAACCATTGCATTGCATATTTCATTTATCTTAAGAAATATCTACCTGTCTTTGTCCTATATCTAATATAAATATGTAACATACCTTTTGATATTTTGATTCAAACTTATTTGAGATTTTTTAGTGTGTAAGCAGTCATAACTTTTTTTAGTACTTGTTCATGTCACAATAATTATAGGTGTTACACACTCTTCTTTTCTAGGACTAAGTAGATATTTTATGAATCTGTAAAGTAACAATGGTTTAGCATCCAGATAAGAAAAGTGTGTAAATACAGAATATTCTTCACCTGAAAGAATAGATAGGAACTGTGGATAGATAGTTTGGTATGCTTGACCAATTCTCCTAGAAAGAATAATCTGGCTAACATGGTATCAATGACATCTCTTGTATGACTGAAGTCTACAAACATCTTTTGATTTAAGGAATGGCTCCCATTCGTGATCACCATGGATGCCCTTGTATTAGGTCAATGATTGTTTCTGTAGAACTTCAAACTCTTTGCTCTGATGTCTCTTCATCTCCAACATTAAGTTGCTCTCAGAGACATCCCCCCTATGTTAGTCAACTGTCCATTGGTACAAAAGCCTAAATCGACTTATAAAGAAGAAAGGCTTTTTCTTGTCTTTCTTTGAAATTTTTTTGTCAGTACTGGGGTTTAAACTCAGGGCTTCATACCTTCTAGACAGATTCTCAACCACTTGGGCCATACCTCCAGCCCCAGGAAGAAAGATTTATGTTGGCTCATGGTTTCAGAGATATCAATCCATGGTCACTTGTCCCCATTGCTTTTTGTGTTCTGTGGTGAAACAGAATCGTTGCAGGGGGCACATGGGGGAGCACAGCTGTTTACTTCATGGCAGCCAGGTAGCAAAGAAAAGAGACACGCGGATAAGACATCCCAATATCCCTTTCATGGACATATCCCCAACTACCCAATTTCCTTCCACTAGGGGCCACTTCTTAAATTTCTGTCACCTCTGAAAAGTGCCACAGCCTGGCACCCAAGGCTTTAGGACATGATCTTCTGGGGATATGTAAGATTCAAGCCATAATATCTCTTCCTTTCCTTCCTTAGGAAACTCAATTGGAACTAGTAAAGTCCCTCCACAAAGAGGTTTCCAAGAGATAATGGAAGAACTGGATGGCATGTTTAAAAGGTAAATAGTGACAATCTTAGAGATACGTTTAATTGTGGAAATCAGGTCTCCTAACTTTACAGTTTAGAATAGAAATAAATGGGAAAATATAAGGGTTTTATGCCTTTCCAAATAGTGTCCATTGTCCTCTCTGCCTTCAGCTAAGGTAAAAACACAGTGTACCAAGTTATTAAATCTATATTCACTTTGCAGTTGAGCAGAAAGAGAGAAATACTTTAGGGAGTAAATGGTATCCAAGAAAGAACCTCATTACTCATCTGTGGAGACAAATGAGTCTTCTGATATGACAGCTGGTGGATCCAGATGTGTATTCCAAACCCTTTTTGAATATAGGGGGCCCATGTTCCTTGAATATCCTTATTTATTTATCCTTATTTCTTTTGCAGCATTATGTTTTGACATTTAAAAATATACATACACAAAAATGAATTATAAAAATATGAGATAAAAAATTAGCATGCATAGAAGCCCTGATACTTTGGTGCTACAAATATATGCATCACTTTGTGTGCACTTGGAGTATGCACACTGTGCACAATTTGGAGCACTGATTCTTAAATCATTTCATACCAATGGAGCCTCCTTTAACTTTGAGTATTTCATATTGTGCTATTACGTATTTAATCTGTAGACAATGCTTGATGTACGATGATTGCTGGTAACTGACATAATTATTTTTTATTACTTCCAAATGGTTTGATATCACAGACTTATCCATAAGTCTTTTATTTCTTTCCTGGTGATACCAATAATTAATTAATAATTAATATTTTATCATTTAACTTGTATAACAGACAAGTTTTTCTCTTGCAAAAAATAAAATGACATATTTCTAAGTAGAATGCAAAGATTCCGACCACTGCAGTCTGGAAGGAACATGAGGTAAGGTATTACTATGGTGACTCTCAAAGTGTTTCATGTCCCAGCCCATAATAGAGCAGATTCCTTTAGAAATTTCCTAGACAACAGGGAAATAGCAGAGCCCAAAGCAAGGAGAGGATAATGTGTGAAGAAACTCAGAGGAATAAATAAGGACCTCAGTGGATTTTGCCAACCCTGAATAAGGTGAGCAGAAAAACAGTATGAGGGACACACAACGTTGTGCCCAGCCAAGTTCTTAAACTGGAGAAATGAAGGAGGGACAGGAATCAGAGCAGTGAGTGTTTGTGGTAGTGCTGATTTAGAAGAGATACAGAGGAGTTTTCTTGGGTTATGCAATGTTCTTTTTTTTCCCTTAATTTTATTAGAATATATTTATTTACAAGGGGATTCATTGCAACAATCACAAATAGGCTTACATTGTACATTCATTAGATTACCCCATCATCTTCCCTTCAACCCTCTTCCTGCACCACTTAAAACGATTACAAAAGGCTTCATTGTTCTATTTCCTATATCTATGTGAAGCCCATCAACCCTCACCTTCATTCATCTCCTCCATGGAATGTTCTTTCTTGATTCAATGTTATATAGGCATAAAAATATTTCAAAATATACAGGATTGTACTCTTAAAGTCTGTGCATTATGTAGAATTTAAATTATGGCTCGGTGCTCAGTAAACACCTAGCCAAAGCAAGCAAACAAAACAGGCATGTAAAAGACTGAAAAATATATAAATGAAAAGTCTAGAAATCAAAAGTGAGAAGCTGGGCATGGTGGCACATGTGTGTAATCCCAGGATTTGGGAGGCTGAGCAGATTGATTGTGAGTTGGAGGCCAGTCTGAGCTACATAGCAAGACCCCATCTCAAAAAACTTAGCAAAATGGAAGAAAAATAGATCAGTTGGTACACATGAAATTTCTTAAGCACCATTTTGCTGTGTTAAAACTTTTCCTTTGCTGTCATAGACAAGCAGCCTTTGATTTTAGAGCGACATGTTTTCCATTTTGAAGAAACCATATTAGTAGTTCGAGAGACCCTATCTTGAACACACCCACCCACCCACCCACCCACCCGGCTGATGGAGTGGCTCAAGGTGTAGGCCCTGAGTTCAAGCCCTAGTATCACAAAAAAAAAGAAACCATATTAGGACAGTAGGAAACCATTGTACTGATAGTAGGATATCAGTGCTCTTTCCAGCATTTGTGACATGTGTGTTTAAGACAGACAACGAGCCTTGCCTTGTTAGTGATGACAAGTCAAGAGAAATGACAAGTTTTTAAAAGACTGTTTGGTAATTTATCCTTAACTTCTCACAGCTTTTCTGTGCTACAAATTAAATCTTTAATGATAAAAAATATATAAAATCTGCGGGTTATTGCCAACATGTCAAACTCTTTAAATACATTATTTCATTTAAGCTTGATGTGAGCATTTAACTTTTATTACCCTTTTTACTGATGAGGAAGCTAAAAGTTTGGGAGGTAATTCAACAAAGTTCCCAGCTGGTGGCCTTATAGCCTTATAGCATAAAATCCATTCTCTAAAATGTTGTATTTTGAGTTGTTGAGTAAAGAAGGATGAAGAAAATACAGTGCCCATATTCATAAAGTACACACAGCAGAAACCAAACAAACTTCCTGCTCCTGTGTATAGTTTCCATCATGATTACCTATATGGTGCTTTGGGATGACCAACCTCTACTTAATAGAAACACCAGGTAAACCAGTCCTTGATCTTTTTAAAATACATCTATAAATGATGTACAAAATGATGAGTTATATCTCTGATGCACACTCATCTCCTGTAAAACCACTCTGCATGCCTTAACTTTCTTATTCCTAACAGACAAATATTCTGAATATTTACTCACAGTCCTTTGCATTTATTAGAGTTGTTATTGCTATTAAAATTATTATAAGTATTAAGCTTGAGAAAAGTACTGAAACATGAGTGTAAAAATACAGGTAGTTTTTAGTCCATTGAAACCTATAACACCTGCTTTGTAGAATCTCAATCCAGGGAAGTCACTCAGATGTAGCATTTATATGTAATCAATGAATCAATAAGAAAGAATGAAAAACTCATTACAAACTGGTGACTAACAGGCATTTAACAAAAGAGGATATTAATAAAAAAGGTACTCCTCCTTAATTATCAGGAAAATATGAGTTCAAACCACAATGTGACTACACAAACACCTGAATGGTTAAAATAAAAGTGACTGATAGTGCCTAGGCCAACCATAGTGGATACAGAGTACTTAGAACTCTCATATACAGTGGGGGTATACTTTAACACAACTAATTTGGAAAATTGACAATATCTTTAATGATGAAAATTACATACCCTGTGATACAGGAATTCAACTTCAAGGTATAAATCCGAGACAAAGGTACAGTGTGTCCAGCAATAGACATTGATGTATGTAGTAGCATTATAATAATAGCAAAAATGGGAAACAATACAAATGCTTTTGTTAATAGAATGAAAATATGGTTTAGTTATACAATGGAATGGCTCAGGGCAATAAAAATGAGCTCATGAGGCTATACCTAACACCTGGAAGAATATCACAAATAAGAAGTTGAGCAAAAAAAAAGTTTATTTCATATGATTCCATTTAAGTAAAAGCTAAAACATAAAAATTATCTCAGGTGCTAGAAACTGGAATGTTGACTTTTGGGGAAGACAGTAGGGGAGAGACTGCAAAGGGTACAGCAGAGGTTTTTTGGGTGTTGGCAGCATCCCAACTTTTGCAGCAGTTACAAATGTGTGTTCTCTTGGGGAAAACTCACCAAAAATTTATATGCACACTTACATTGAGTATATTTTGTATACACATTCAATTTCAAAAGCCTACTTGGGCTGGAGGTGTGGCTCAAGCAGTACATACCTGCCTAGCAAGTACAAAGCCCTGAGTTCAAGCACCAGTGCCACACACACACACACACACACACACACACACACACAGAAAAAAAAAAACAAAACCTTTAGAAGTAGGGATAAAGATTACTTGAAAAGAATTATTTTCACCAAGGCATGGTGGCACATGCCCATAATCCCAGATACTTGGGAGGCATAGATATGAGGATCACAGTCCTCAGGCAAAACCACAAGACCCCCTTCCAAAAAATAACTGAAGCTAAAAAGTGATGTGGCTCGAGTGGTAAAGCGCCTGCTAAATGAGCACAAAGCCCTGAGTTCTAACTCCAGTACCACCAAGAAAGAAAAACAAAACAAAACCAGAATTACTTTTAAGTAAAGTCTGAGAAAAATAAAAAGAGTGAGCAGAAAATGACTGTGACAGTGGGTCTGTCACAGTCTTGTAGTGCTTGTGTTCAAGTGACCCTTATTTTACTTAATGGCCTCCAAGCTCATTAGTAGCAAATGCTGGCAATATGAATATGCCAAAAAGAAACAGTAAAATGTCCCTTAAGTGGAAAGCTGAAAACTCTCAACAAGGAAGGGAAAAAAATCTTACCCTGAGGTTGGAAAGATCTTTGATAAGAAAGCTAGCTAGCATTTGTTGCCCTTAACGCAGAGAAACTAAAGCAGATACCTTAAAGCAACTGAGGCCAATAGGAAAAGGGGAACAGGTACTACAGAAAAGGTTAGATCAAAAAGAATTAACCTAGAAGGTAACACCCATGCACAGGAAATCAATGTGAGTCAATGCCCTGTATAGCTATCCTTATCTCAACCAGCAAAACCCCTTGTTCCTTCCTATTATTGCTTATACTCTCTCTACAACAAAATTAGAGATAAGGGCAAAATAGTTTCTGCTGGGTATTGAGGGGGGGAGCGGGAGGGGGTGGGGCAGGGGGGAGAAATGAACCAAGCCTTGTATGCACATATGAATAATAAAAGAAAAATGAAAACAAAAAAAAAAAAAGAAAGAACCTTCTACTTCTGGTATTGTGAAGAAGGAAAAATAAATTTGTACTCGCTTGATTATGGCACTTCAAGCTGCAAAAGTTACCACCACATTTATAACATTATAAGGTATAAACGTATAGGAAAAAACATAGAATCTATGGTTTCAGGCATCCACTGGGGACATGGAACCTACCATTAGTGGTTAACAAGGGACCACAGGTAGATGAATTTAACTCTCAG